GAGCGTGGGGGGGCGATGTGCAGCTAACGGTCCCGTCGGGCGGGCTTTCCTCGGGCCGAGCGCGCAGGAGGTGCGCCGCAGCTATGGAGTGTCCCGGGAGACGGCGGGCATGACGGCAACAGGATGGGCGCGAACAATGGCAAACAGTACGGCAGTGAGGGTGAGTGGGCCGCCCGTCCTCAGACTCCCGGATCGCGTCCCTCCTCCCCTTTCCCTCGCCCTCCCGGCTGGGAAGGGAGGTTCTCGCCCGCGGCCGTGACGCACCCCATTTGGCACCCTGTCTGGGTCACCACCTTCGCCTTTGGCAGAGAGTGACCAGTGAGTAGGTCAGGCGCCCCGAGGATGCTTTTCCACCGTGGGGGTCTCTTTAAGCAACTTCCCAGTTTGTCTTTGGGAAGGCTCAAGTTGCATCTCTGCTGTGTTTCTGAGCACATGTGCCTCAATCTTCCTTCCCTGGGCATCTGGGGTTTAGGAGATGATGGTTTGGCAGATGGCGGAAGACGTTTTTGAAAAATAGCTCAGTGAAAACTTTACCGGGCCTTTGTGCTCCAGCCCCCTGGACTCTACTGTAGCAGGAAAAACTTCTGGAAGGAGAAGTTAAGTTTCCATTCTTTGCTCGCTGCCCCTGCTCTGACAGCTTCATGAAACTAAGCACCTATCAGTCCTGCGAGGCGTGGAATGGCTGGGGGGCTTTGTCTGGGCTCTCTCGGGGCTCGAGACGGGCAAAGGACCATCTGTTACGTGGGGCTGGAAATTGCACAGAAATATTGCCTGTCAAGTGGGAACTTGGAAGTTGGGGAAACTTTAAACTCCACCTACTCCTAAAAGGATGATGGATGTCTGGGTTGGCTTCTCCCTCCTTTCTCCTCCCTCCTCCCACTCTGCATAAAACCGTAGCGTTGTATCCCAATTAACAGCTAGCCCCTGATATGCATAAGGCAAAGGCATTTTTCTGCAGTTCAAAAGTTAAGAAGGTTTGTGTCTGGTGGGCTTGGCTGAAGAGGAGTGGAAGAGACTGGGTCAGTTTTACAGCCCGCCCCCAGAGGACAGTTGGTTGCAAAGGAGGGGCCAGCGCTTGCAGACTGGTAGGAATGCAGGCTAGCTATTCAGCCTGTGGCCTGGAGGAAACTCTTATCATCCTGTTCGAAACTTTGAGCTGTGGCCACAGAATGTGGGTGTCTCTCCTCGTTTCTCAGCAGTTTTGTGAAATTACAGCAGAAACCGACCCTACAAAAACCATATCCACAAGAACCTTTTGTTTAAGTCATTCTTTTTCCAGATCATCATGTTTTGACTTCCATATGTGCCTCTGTGTGTGTGTGTGTGTGTGTGTGTGTGTGTGTGTGTGTATTTATGTATATTTCCTTATCTTAGGCAGTGATTTGAGGGGTTTTTTTGTGACTATTTTTTTTTAAAGTTAAAGGCTGCCTTTTTAGATAGCAAATGTGAAAGTATGCCAAAAAAGATTATTGCAGAATCTGGGCCACTCCCCAAAGCGTCTTAGAGTTAATATTATAAAAATTTGCGGAAAAGTAAGTGATTAAGCCTTCTTACTCTGAGTTATTAAAAAGCTTTCAGGACATAATTGTAGCATGTGCTTGTCAATTCTAGGTATATGCTAGTCGAGCACTGTCGGAGGAAAAAGACAACCCAAGAGGTACATAGAATCACTGCTATGAGTTCTTTCTTGAACAGTCCCCCCACCCCACCCCACCCGCCTCCCGCCCCAGCCCTTCTAATCCTCTGCAACTTGTTCTTATATCCCAGCATTCCCGTATTGTGCAGTGTGTGGTATATGACGACTTCCTGTCTGAACAGCAGAATTTTCAACCCTTGGGAGAGAAAAGGGGAGACAGGGAACTAATGTTCTCCAGCTGTTATCCTTAAATGCTACCTCTGCATTTTCACTTCAGGCGAAGTGAAATTTTACTGGGATCAGATTTAGATGCACTGTGGACTTTTTATAGGAAAAACCTCTTATGCTCAGCTGATTCAAGAGGACCAATAGGAAGCTTTACAAGGTAACTGTGAGTTTTGGCTAGAGGTACACACTGTGTTTAGTTTTCATCAACTTTCTTCAAATGCATCGAGATTCCTCTGTTACAGGTGAGGAAAACAGAAATAGAAGTAACATGACCTTCTTTTTTCTTCTTCAACCCCCAACTATACTGTGGCTCCTCCTAAGTAGGGATGTAATATATGTAATGGGTTATGGTCCACTTTGTTATTCCATGGTAGATTGCAAATAACCTGCTGGGCTCAGGTGTGGCAGTGCCATCTTTCTTATCTAAAATGTTACATTTCAAAGAAAGTAAAAGCAACCCCTAGATATAGTATCTTCATTATCAAAGCTGACTGAAAATTAAGACAGTTATATAGAATTAGTGGATTTTCTGTATAGTGTATCTCAAACATAAGGAGGAAATTATCTATGAGTGCATACCAATAAAATACAGTGAGAGATTTATTAAAGCAAAATAAATATGGCTTGAGAAGTACTCTGTACTTCTATATTTCAGCCCTTGTGAATGAACTGCAACCTAACTTAATAGGTAGGCAAGATTGAAAACAGGTCGGGCGCGGTGGCCCACACCTGTAATCCCGCCATTTTGGAAGGCCTAGGCGTGCGGATTACTTGAGGTCAGGAGTTCAAGGCCAGGCTGACCAACATGGTGAAACCCCGTCCTCTCTACTAAAAATACAAAAAGTATCCGGGCCTGGTGGCGCATGTCTGTAATCCCACCTACCCAGGAAGCTGAGGCAGAAGAATCACTTGAACCCGAGAGATGGAGGTTGCAGTGAGCTGAGATCACGCAACTGCACTCCAGCCTGGGCAACAGGGCAGGACTCAGTGTCAAAAAACAAAAGAAAACAAACAAACAAAAAAATAGCTGAGTCTTGGCCAATCCCAGCAGCCGTACTTAAACCAGTCATACGTTGCTGAGTGTTCAAACTGTGTTTAAATAAGGCAAACACCAACCTGTAACCAGTCCAGCTGTTTCTGTACCTTACTTCTGATTTCTGTATGCCATTTTCCTTTTTTTGTCTATAAATCTTCTTCCACCATGTGGATGTGCTGGAGTCTCTCTGAATCCACTGTGATTCTGGGGGCTGCCTGATTTGCGAATTGTTCATTGCTCAATTAAATTCCTTTAGATTTAATTCAGCTGAAGTTTTTCTTTTAATAGATTGCTCAACTCTAAAATATTGGTGTTTGTGTATGTTTCAAAAATCTGCAACTTAAGTATATTTTACCTAATAATGACAGTTGACATTGCTATGCAAATGTTTGTTGAATATCACAAATATTGTTGAATTATTAGAACTTTTAACACATCAGTATTCTGTTGGTAATCTCACTTTCTTCTGCTCTTGGAAAACACCTTTTCATTGAAAACAATTATTCACGAGGCTTACCTTAGCAGATGTACTGGGGCAGAGGCTTCCAACTCTATATTCCAAGGACTAGCGCTATCCGCATCACCGGGGAGCTTGTCAAAAATGCAACACTACTCCATCATTTATCACATGCACGTTAAAGCTGAGAGAACTTATTGTGTAGAGTACAGAGCATTAACTTGGGAGTCTAAAAATTTAATTCCAGCATCAACTCTGGGGTGTTTGTTCTCTAAAGTGAAGGGAGAAATTTCTTATTGACATTACTTGTTATTACTATTCCTTGAATGTGTAGTCATTCATTTCATTTTGCTCTTATAATGCCGTAAGGAACCACTTCATAGAGATTAACTTCGGAAAGACATAACTAACAGGGAAGTTAAGACTGCTATTGCCAAGAAATCAGTAAATACGCCTCCCACTTTTGTCATCCTTTTTGATCTCTTGTCTCTATCTTCCTCACGAACCTCCTCCTCCTCTGCTAACTCAACCAGTCCTGAAATCCTTGCTTTTCTCCATAGATCAAACGTGTGTGTGAATTGATAATGGGTGTTTCCAAAGTGTTTTGTTTTCCTAAATCCGTAGTGAATATGCAGGTTATTGGTCTAATTTGCAGCCCCATCTCCTATTGCTATTAGAGAGACTTGGATTTTACTCCAGGGATGAAGCTAATGTGTACGTGATTAGTATGGTCTGGTAAATTCTTTTATGGAGGGATTTTCGTGTGTATGTATATATCTTCTTCCATGAAGTGTAAGTCCATGTGTAGAAATCTGGAGGATGAGTTGGGGTGCTTCAAAGTCATTAGAACCATTAGCTTTGACTCCAGTTAAGCCAAATAAATCTCAGTTCAAGTAGGAAAAGAGAAGCTGCTCTCCCTGCCTTTTAAGGTTTCTGAGCCTCACCATCACTTACTCGGTGGTTTCAATGTTTTGTTTATTCTGCTTCAGCAGGTCAAAGGCAGTACCACTTGCACTGTTAACAGCTTCTTTGCAAAGCTGAGGATATTGTTAAATTGGGACTGATGAGAGGCCATAGGGAAGGGGCGAGATCCTTGGTAACTCTGCTGCTCCACCAAGGGCAGTGAATTCTTTTCACCATCTCAGATCGGTGCTGTCAGATAAGAGGAGAGCCAGTTGCCTGAGAGCATAAATCTTCACAAATCCATTGCCACCTCAGGAAACGTATCTTGAAATTATAATAACAATGGCAGCTAACATTTGCTGAAAGCTTTCTATGTCCAGGCATAATTCTAAACCACTTGCCATGCAGCGACCCACTTCATCCCTGCAAGGATCTTATGGGGTAATTACTTGTAGATTCTACATTTTACTGATGAGGAACACAGTACCAGAGAGGATGATTATTTTCCCAAGGTCGTTCAGTCAGTGTAGGCTGAATGGGGACCCCGGGCCAGCTCTATCTAAGCCCAGAGTCATTTATTCATTCATTCAACTTAAATATATGTTAACTTTTAACTTCCCGCTATGGGCCCAGGACTCTTAGAGTCTTGGGATAAGTCAGTAAACAGATGAAGATCCTGTCCTTGTCATTCATAAATGCTTGTGTGTGTGTGAGCTTGTGTGTTGGGAGGAAGGAGAACTGGAACAGTGAACACCCACACACAGTAATTCAGTAAACCATGTGGTACATTACAAGGGGCTCAGGTCCCTGAATAAAGAAAATTGTCAGGTTAAGATGATTGGGAATGTGGGTGGAGGGTATTACATTTTAATTAGAGCAGGCACCAAGAGCCTTACTGAAAAGTTGCCTTTTAAACCAAGACCTGAAGGACATGATGGGCTGAGCTTTGAGGATCCAGGTAGCATGCTGGCTGCTACTTTTAATCACTGTGATAAACCGAGGGGCGTAGAAGCGTCCCCCACATCCGCTGGGGATGAATTCTAAAAACTCCAGTGAATGCCTAAAACTTGAAGAGTACCGAACCTGATTGCAGTCATTCGGAATGTTTCTGTCCATTTCTTCCACCCTCAAATTTAATTCTGTCTTAATTAAGCATTTATCATGCATGGTGGCTCTAACTTTTACAGTTTGAGGTAAGACAGCAAAGCTAGCAGGGATTTCTTTTTCCTTCACAGTTTTACGGATAGAATATTCATTCTTACTGTAGATGTTAGCAGCCTCAGCATACATTTTTTTTTTTTTGTTTCCTTAAGAACTTCCAACTTTTCACTTAAAGGAAGCCCTTTACGGCTTCTTGGCATATTTTAATTGCCCGCATCATTCCTCTTGCACTTTGGGGGCCATTATGAAGTAGAATAAGGGTGATGTGGACACAAGCCCTGCAGTACCTCCACAGTCCATTCAATCACCGAGATGGCTATTCCGTGACTTCAGGGCTGGAAGCGTCTACATTGTGGAGATGCTGGACCTCCCAGGATGGTGTGAGATTTCATCACGCTACTTGGAAAGAACTCAAAATTTAAAACTTAGGGATTGTCTATTTCTGGAAATGTTTATTTACTAGTTTTGAACTACAACCATGGGTTGCTGACACTGAACAGTAAAACTATGGATAAGGGGGGCTTCTGTGCAGTTTATGCTTGTCTTAGACAGTTCAAGCTGCTATTACAAAGTACCATGACCAGCTGACTTATTAACAACAGAAATTTGTTTCTTACAGTTCTAGAGGCTGGAGTTCTGAGATTGGGGTTCCAGCACGGACAGGTTCTGGTGAGGGCCCTCTTCTGAGTTGCAGATTGCCGTCTTCTCATTGTATTCTTGCATGGCTGTGAGAGAAAGAGAGCAAGCTAA